GTCCCAGGTTCAATCCCCAGCATCACCAGTTGAAAAGGACCAGGCAGGAGGTGAAGAGAAAGACCTCCACCTGAGACCCTGGAGAGCCGTAAAGAGGGGCCATGGCTCAGTGGCAGAGCCTCTGCTTGGCATGCAGAAAGTCCCAGGTTCAATCCCCGGCATCTCCAGTTGAAAAGGACCAGGCAGGAGGTGATGGGAAAGACCTCCGCCTGAGACCCTGGACAGCCACTGCCAGTCTGAGTAGACGTTCATAGACATTGGTCCTGATTCAGTAGAAGACACACAGGGCCTCTTGTGTTCATGTGGGAGGCCTCCCCCTCCCCCTCCAGTCCGTTTCATTGTGCTTTTTTCTTCCTTTCAGCAATCGAGGATAGCAGAGAGAAGATCAGCCAGTATCAGACGCTCCTGAGCTGCCTCCCGGTTGTCAACAGAGCCACAGTGAAGGCTTTGATCAATCACCTGTACCGGTAAGGGGGGGGGTGTTTCGGGGAGGGTTCCGGGTGTGACAGAGAGAGAAGGATGTTCAGGGATCACCCTGCAGGAACAGAGCAAAAAGCCTTTGAGGTTGGCCAAAACAGGGCACGGGGAGCTGAGCCGTTGGGCTTTGGAGGTGCCGCCTGTGAGCATGGATGATCCACGACTCCTGGTTGACGTGAAAGAACGAGAAAGGGTTGCACAGCAAAGAGCAAGAAACCGGACAAGGCTGTGCAAAAAGGACGCTACAACTCTATGTATTGCGATGATAGTAAATAACAATAATAAATTGAAACCAGTAAGTACAAACTAGGTATAAACATTCAAGTTCAGGTTCATCCCAATGGGTATAATATCAAAATCATGAAATTACAAGTCCAGGTACAGGTAGTAAAGCCATGTAATCAATGATATAAGAACATGCAAAAGATGTAAATACAAACCCAAATGCAATTAGAGAAGACATAAAGATGTCATGTAGATCGTCTGGAGTAGATAGTCAGGAGCAGATACTCTACAAAGGATCTGGATATTAGTAACTTTGAGGAATTTCAGACAGGCGATATATTCCGGTTCAGGAATGGTTCCCAAACGGTTTCTGGTCTGACATTTCAGATAGAACCGGTTCTCTACCGGAATATATTTGTACTTTCACACACAAACGCGTCTGTCCCATTCAGAAAACGGGGCTGAACCGTTTTACCTGTAAACCACTTCCAAGTAGTCTTCAGTTTCTTCTCCCAGATCCGAAACGCTTTTCCCCACAATCTCCAGCTTTTTTTTTTTGAACGTTCGCTTTAGAGCACTATAGCGCTATAACACAACAGCAAGACAGCGTTATAGCAACCCCATTGGAATGCCTGGAGTGTTGTGTTATAGCGCTATAGCGCTCTAAAGGGAACGTTAAAAAAAAGCCAGAGATCGCCCGCGTGGGCGAAAAATGGCAGGAAAAAGCGAGAATTAGCAGTGCAGTCTGAAATGGCAAACCGCTTCAGATCCAGCTGTTTACCGGTAAGGGAAAGCCATGTGTGAAATGGCAGCCCTATACCGGTTTACTCCACGACGGATCAAAAACAGCTTCAAATCGGCTTAAAAAGGGTAATGTGGAATTCCTCTTTGTTTCGTTGAGCTTCCTCAGTGATAACAAATGTATCTCTTCATAAACTTGATTTGCGTGAGCTTCTGAGGTAATAATCACAAACAGAATTTCCAGAGAATTGCCAGGAAAACAACTTCCACAAATGGGCATCCAGTCCAAATAATTAGAAAGAAATCACCTCCAAACGTCTGTCTGCTGATTCAGTACATTTCTTTGGAAATTTTCTTTGTGATAATTACCTCAGAAGCTCACGAAAATCAAGCTTACAAAGAGATACATATAGTTATCACTGAGGAAGATCAACGAAACGAAGTTACTAATATCTGGATCCTTCGTAGACTATCTACTCCTGACTATCTACTCCTATATGACATAAGAACAGAAGAGAAGCCAGTGTTGGATCAGGCCAATGGCTCATCCAGTCCAACACTCTGTGTCACACAGTGGCCAAAAATACCAGGTGCCATCAGGAGGTCCGGCAGTGGGGCCAGGACACTAGAAGCCCTCCCACTGTTGCCCCCCCCACCAAGCACCAAGAATACAGAGCATCCCTTGCCCCAGCCTAAGAGTTCCTATCTATACCTTGTGGCTAATAGCCACTGATGGACCTCTGCTCCAGATGTTTATCTAATTCCCTTTTGAAGCCGTCCATGCTTGTAGCCGCCACCACTTCCCGTAG